TTCCAAGTCGCCCTCCCCCCCGCCCCCAAGCCTCAGGCCCAGGCCTTGGAGCAGGCAAGGGAGCGGGAGTCTGTAGTTCTACTTGCACTCTTTTGTTTTATTGTGTTATATTTTTCAAAAGTCAGCTGCTTTGAAGTCTCCTCTCTCAATGAAAGAGCCTGCTCACACAGGCAGCACTGAGGACCCCGATTAGTGGGAGATCAAACCTGCCCCCCTCTGGAAGGATTCTAGCCACAGACAGCTTGCCAGTAGCCAATTAGGGTAATTGGAAACTTCTGCCCTGGTGGGGGTCCCACTGGAACCTGTGCCCCTGGCTCCCAGCACCTCCCTTCTCTTATTCTAGCCGTGCTCTCTCAAAGGGCCAATACCATCACGCTGGGAGAGCATTAAGCCTGGTCCTGGCCTCGGGCCTTGTGGTGAACCAGGCACAGAATAGGCTGGCAAACTAAAACCAAAACGCTAGGGGACATTTTCTGCTCCACACACAGGTCTTGTCCCAAGCTCTGAGTGGGGGGAAGGTGGGAGGGTGGGGCTACCTGGCTTTCCAGGGCTCGAGGTTTAGCTAAATGGGCTGTGTCACTGCCCTAACCTCATCACAAGCAAGATCTGGGAGCCCAGCCCTCCCACAGCCAAGATCCCCATGCTCCAGGAGGGCTCTGGGCACTGCAGCCTCAGGGCTATTGGAAAAGGGAGAGTCCATTGAGTCATGAGCAGGGCAGTCAGGTGACCAGGCAAGGATGCCAGACAGCTTTCCAGGCTGGGAACAAGGCTGAGGCTTCCTGGAGGAGTCAGGTCCTGTGAGCTGCCCCTTCCCTGTTGGAGGAGGGCGGGGATCGGGCTCGGGGAGGCTGTCACTGGCGTCTGCACAGCCCTACCTCCAGGGTCTGGAGCTCACACTTTGATGAGCCCCCAGAAAATGACCTCAGCCCAGCAGCTTCCTTATTTACTCCTTTACTGAGGCCAGGCACACTCTGGGTCACTGGAGGCAGCTTGGCTGCCTGATCCAATCAGGCTGGCTAGGAGGTGAGGGCTGGAGGAGGTTTCACCTCGTTGACCCTGAGTCTAGGAGAGCAGGCGAGGTGGGGTGGGGAGCAGGTTCCCCAGTGCTCCCTGGCTTTCCCACCAGCTACAACCTGCCTTCCAGCCCCGGAATGGGAGCCTGTGCCAGTCCCCAAAAAGAACCTGTGTGGGGCACAGATTTACCTGGAACAGGTCCTTTGCCTCTGTCAAAAAGCCAGTGCCACCCGTAGCCCCAGCCTTTGCCTTTTCCTTCTTCCCAAGTTTTCTCAAGCTTCTCCTCACTGCCTTTCCTCCTCGGCCTGCACCTTTAGCCCAACCTGGGACCCAGAGACGCCAGAGGCCCCACAGGAGGCCTTGGAAGAGCTAAGCTGATGTTAGGAGGCTCAGAGAGGACACTGGGGAAATCATGATCTCGAGGAGTCAGGAGGCCTTCCCCAGGCAGGCAGCCGCTCCCTGACAGTCCTCAGAGGGACACACCTGTGCTGAAATGGGTCTTGCTTCCTGTGTGTGTGTGTGTGTGTGTGTGTGTGTGTGTGTGTGTGTGCGCGCGCGCGCATCTGCTGAGAAAAAAACAGGGCCCAGAGGAAGGGAGAGGCTTAGGAGTAGGTGCAAGTTGAGGAGGCAGGAGAGTGGGGTCTCCCACCTCCACCCCAGCTCAGAGAGCAAGTTTCATGCAGGGGCCCCAGACACTGTGAGTGCAGGGGCTGATGTTCCCAGGGAAGCCAAGACAGGTAGCATCATGGGCACCGTGGGCCTCATGCCCCTTCCTTCTAAGTGGCCCTCCTTGGTGGTCTTGCCTCAGGGCCAACCCTTCCTGGACTGTTAGGACCAGAGTGTGAAGAAGTGAGATATAAATATGTATACATATATAAATATATTTTTAATTACGTGTCGTGTCACCGTGGCTCCAGACATATGGTTTGCCTAGTTTATTCCATTGCTTGAAAGCACTTCCTGGCCAATCCGAAAAACATTTTAAGCTGTTTTTCTAAATGCAGGTTGCTGCTACTTTTTCAGATATGGAAGGAAATAACAGTAAAGGCTAAAATCTGAGACTAAAGCAGCTTCCCATGAGAGAGGACTCAGACAGGAACTGGGGAGCAGAAGTGGGCACCCCACAGGCCCCCTCCCCAAGCCAGGCCCCCCCCTCTGCTGAGTGAGGAAGGCCATATCCAAGTTGACCTCTGAATGTACTTGATGGGGGGCAAGACTGGATATTGCATTTCTATAGCTTGCGTTGTTTTCCCCACTGGCCCGCGGCTTTCCTGGCTTTTACTGCAGAGGCAAAGTCCAGCCATCTGATGTTGATTCTGTCTCAGTCTCTCCCCTGCCAGTCAAGACGAAGTAGTCATTGTTTTCCTCTCAGGCAGCCAGCCTGCTCGCCACAGTCTTGCTCCCCTAGGCCTTGTGGCTTTGCCTAAGCTCTGGGACCACAGCCCCCAGAAGGTTCCCAACCTTCCCTGGACCAGGTGGGAGTCCCACCATCCTCCATGAGGAGTGTGCCCCTTACAAACCCAGTTTCGTCCGTTCGTCCTTCCTTAACCAGTCTGTAAACCTTCAAGGTTTGGGGATCATCCTGTCCATTCATGTAAATGTAAATGTTGGCCGAATCGGTATTTATTCTAATTTTTATTTTATTTTATTTTATTTTCTCGGGGGGATGGGGAGGGGGGTGTGGGAAATGTACCATTGATCACACCCTGGGCAGCTGCAGGAGGCGGGCCCAGGCCGCCAGGCTGCCAGGAGTCGCAGCCCCTTGGGGCCGCCCCAGACACCAGGGCCCAGTCTTATCTGGCATCAGAAACCAGCCAGAGTTCCTCATATGACAGGCTCTTGGGGCCTGCCGGTGGAGTCCTGTCTCTCAGCTGCTGGGCGCTCTGTTGGGAAACCTCTGGCTGGGCCTGTGAGGATGCAGATCCGACAGAAGACAACTTTCCTCTACTGGGAACACTTGTGCAGAAGGGTTGCCCGCCTCTCCTGAGCCAGCTGGGAGCCTGGCGGGCGGGACCTACCTCCCTGGAGCAGGGGCCTGGGGCTTCCCGCCAAAGCTGCAGCGGAATCCTGCTCATGCAACCACTCTCCTCCCTCAGTATGTCCTGCTTTCCAGCTGAACCCAAACTACCAGTGGGTTTAAAAAATAAACAACACCAAAAAACAAAAATGCCCTGAATTCGTGTTCTTTGTGAGATCGGCAAAGGAATTCTCTCCCAAAGGCTTTTGTGCCTCAGCTGGTGTTGGCAGAGGCCTTGGATGAGCCTCTACCCAGGCGGTGAGGTGATGAGAAGATTCCCTACAGTTTCACTGCCTTGGGAAGCAGGGCAGAGACTGGGGCCTGGAGAAGATTGTGAAGGAGTGACCTAGGAGACTTACACCCCGCAAGCTGGGAACTGTGCCCTGTCCGCGGTGGTAGGATGAAGCCAGTCCTGCAGAAAATGGCTTGTACACCAAAGATCTGTTTTGCTGCCTGTTTAACCAGCCCACCACCCAACACTTACCCCTTCCTGGAATGGCATTGTCTGTGCATTTGGCAGTGACTCATTTTAAGCAGACTAAGAATGGGGACTAGCAGCTTCTAAAAGTCAGCAGCAAGTGGCTGTCTGGTCCCCGTGGGTCAAATCAGTCTTTCATCAAAGGATTCCAAAGGGACCTAGTGATTT